ATATATATATATATATATATATATATATATATATATATATATATATCCTGCAGCTTTGCAGTTTCTTTAGTGGAAATGAGAAAGAGGAAGAAATCCGCCAGGAAGCCTATTTATATGGTCAACTAAGCATTATGCTTTTCTCACAATCTAAATCGATACATTGACTGGCTTTGATTTTCAATATGACTATGTATCTCAATTCTACACAATTGAAAGACGTTGTAAATGTGAGTATTGTCATAAGTTTAATGTGAAAGACACGAGAAGTTTGCCCTTTTTTGGCTTTGAGGCTGATCTGGACCATCATTGGCTGGCCCACCTGCCAATCATAATCAACAACAGCCGATCAAAACCTTAATCTGAGACTTTCCAGAGTAGCACAGTAGGACAGAAATTTATTGCAGGAGGACTGTGAGGAAGTAAAATAGACTTTTTAGTAGTTTCAGGTGGTTTAAAGCTGCTCAGGATAGCTTTGTGTGTGTTTGGCTGTCTGTAATTAAATAACATTAAAGTGTTTTTTTTATTATTTGTAGTTTAAAATGACTAATGATCAAGTTTTATTTTATTTAATTCTTTACAAGATGTTGAATGTTTAACATAACAAATGTGGGGAGAACCTAATAATAGATTTATGGAGACATGAATATTGTTTATGCAGTTGTTAAGGCTCTACCTTATCTAACATACTAAATTGTCTAATTTAGTTTGCTGTGTATTAATGGTTTGAGCTGTTTCTAAGCTGATGGAAGAAGATTAATGACTATGTGGTAGAGATTTTGTTAATGATTATACCAGTGGTGCCCAAAGTGGGTCCTGGAGGGCCAGCATCCTGCATGTTTAAGTTCTCTTCCTGGTGGTAATAACAACGTCCTCAGCAAGTTGATGTTCTCCTTAGGCCTTCTAATGAGGATGCTGGCTTCCTCATTAGAAGGAGGCCAGAATCCTTCTAAGGCCTTCTAATGCTGGCATTCTAAGGCCATCATTTGATGGATCATTAGAGCCATCAAAAACTTAAATCATTGCATATAAATTTTTATTTTTTCTTTAATCTTTGCATTTTTTAAGACTTTATAGTTGGTGTTCAGACATTAATCTTCCAATTATACATAACTATCAGTGATATTTTCAAATTTCCTGTAAACGTTAAACGTTTAACTCAAAAATATAGCGAGCCGCTCGATGAATGACTACTGAGCGCCCCAACCACCAGGCTTAGCAAGTTTTCTGTGCAAAACCTTGTTTGTGTACTTGACAGAACTGAGGAATTGGAAATTGAGCAAAACATATTGAACTACAAAAGACAATTGACGCCTCTTCTTTGACTGGATACCTGCAGCTTTCTACTCGAAATAACCACATCTTTAGTTCATTTAACAACTTTTGACATCCTATTTGTCCTTATATTTTAGTCATCCTATTTGGCCACATACGCCGTTTCTTAGGCCATGGTATGATTTGGACACATGCACTGCTGCCTACATGTATCATAATATAATGACTTACAGGGTTGTTTTTTTGATACATTGGTTTAGTGATTTTTTTTTGCAGAGAAACGTCTTCCCACCATAGTGCAGTAATTCTTTTAGACCACATGGTGGAGCCAAATCCAATTACCTGGCCCATATGAAGCATGATGGAGATTTTGTTAATGATTATACTTTATTTGCCAGGGTTTCCATCATATCTAAATAAACTGTTTTGTAGGCCAAAAATTGGATAGATGGGGTGTGACCTGCATGTATCATTATAATGACTTATTATGTTTTTTTTCTCAATACATTTGTTAAAAAGAATCAAGAAACAAGAAAACACTGTATTCTTGTACAGCAACATATTCCCACCATAGTTTAGTAATTCTATCTTGCCACATAATGGAGCAAACCAACAAGTATTTGCCTCGTTTCAGTTCCATACTTTTTTGCATTAAATCTTCTTCAATACCAGCTTGTTTGAAGGAAGTGATGCAAGACACAGTGTAGCTGACAGTGAACATAAATAAAGGATGCTGGGGGGCGGGGGGGTTGGTTTTGAGGGGAAACCTGCTGGGCTAGGCGAGGAAATATAACTGCTTGCAGTTCTAGTTCATTATTAATATCCACTGAAGAAAACAAAGAAAGGCAGAAAGCGATCACGCTCAAACTGTTATTTCAAACATCCCAGCTATGTGAATCAACTCATTTACATCAACATTGCTGATCTGCATGCCTATTAAAAATTGTATAACTATTGCCATTTGTACTATAGAAAAAAATACTGTATTAAAGTGTTTGTGATTTTATTTTCTCTGTTAGATGGTACATTCTCAACCAAGAGGTGTGCACAGGCAATGGTCATGTTGTGGTCTGTATATGATATAACTCACAAGATACTAGTCTATGTAAAAGGTTTTCTGTATATCTTACAGTGGAAAAAGACAGGGTTGTGGAGAAAACAATTAAAAAACATCAAAGAAGCCAGTAACAAACAAGGAACATTGAAATAAAAAGGAATTTCTCATCATCCAATCTAAAATCTGAATCAGAAAACAAATTAAATCAAAACAAAAAAAAGTATGACACTAAGATTTAAAAAAAGACACTAACCTTTCTTGTTTACTGCATCCACAGACAGCAGACATTGAAAAAGGAAAGAAAAATATTGTTAATATCACAAGAGTAACCAGAAACTGTTAACCATAGTTTCCAACAGCCAAGTTCTGTCCATTTTTTAAATCATTCTGTGGAAAGGAAAATAGATTTCAGCAAAGCATCAGTTTGTGCAAACCACAAGGGGCAACAGCATTAAGAGTTAAATGTCTGTCGTGGCTCAAAACATCTCTACATTTTTGTGGTAACTGTAACAAAGAACAGTTTTAGGAACCAAATGTATGTCAAGTTAGTGTAATTTAACACAAAAGTGTTTCAATGTGTGCAATTAGTATACCTAATTTCAGACTGAATGAATGACTAAAAACAAGGAGCTATTAGGTGATTTTTGAATTGATTATTATTCTTATAAATCCATACACTATTGCTTATATAAAAACATCTAAAAACATAGTATACCTGGGAATGCAAAGCTGCTTGGAAAATAAGTAAGTGATAGCTGGAATGTCTCTCTGTTTTATGTGGTGTCAATTTTTAAAGTTGTGCTGCAGAAGGTTCTTTTGCACACTTAGTTCCACATTCTGCATGAATTTAGATGTGTTGCGCATTTATAGACTAAAAATTTGGGACACAGCCAACAAGAGGTCATTCGGTTATTCGTCATATAAACCAAACAAGACATGGCCCAAAAAACTTTTCATTTAAGAAAAATTCTAATAATGCCTCAAGAAGTTTGGCGACTGAAATAATTCACAATCAAATGTGGTTATGAAGTATCTGTAGGATTTGCTGATATCTTCGCACAGCGATCAGTGATTTATTTACAAGTGATTTGTTAAAATCAAACACACACACCAAAGTGTTCTTTGATGAATCTCCAAAGTACACTCACCTTTTAAAAAGTAAAATTGAAATCACTGTGATAATAATGATAATGACAGCCAGCACTGGACCAACCACCCACAACATCTCTGGGTCCTCCTGAGCTTGCCTTGTGACTTCACTGACATTCACCACGAATGTGTCAGAAAATGGACTGGCAACAAATGTCCTCTGCTTCAGAGAATCATAAAGCATAAAATGTATGTTTACATTTAATTTTGCAAACAAAGTCCATACAGGAAGAACACAATACAGTAGTGAAAGCAATTGCATCATGTAGTGATTTGTATTGATACAATATTAGAAACTTTATTTATTTTTGAAAAGAGGCATGTTTTAAAAGTCTCATGTTTTTTAAAACACACAAAGGATACTTACAGATTCAAGATCTTTTAGGTCTGCCAGAACAAAGCAACGGAACTGTTGCAGGATAGGAAGAGGCCTGTTATAAAAGCCATTGTATTTCTTTTCATCGGCAAGCATGAAGATCTCTGGCAGAACAGCCATCTTAGCAACAATGAAGGGCTGTAGAAAATCCTGACTCTGTGTCTGCCCTGTGTTGTCAGCATCAGCCTCCAGGATCTGCCAGTGGGACAAAACACTTTGAATTTGTGGAGACATGATTACCAAATATAATTAATTGAAAAATACTTGTAACAAGCTTAGATTACTCAATACAAACATAATGACTCACTGCTAGTAAAGCTGGTTAATGTTAGCTTAACCATTTATTTTTTTCTTTGCTCATGGAGCTTTCAAATCACAGGTTCTATCTCAAATGTAAACCAATAAAAGATCACAGATTGGCAATGAAATCAGGTGGTTGCAATAATGTTATAAGGCAACATTACTATTGCCCTTGGTTAATATGAACAAAATTATTAATAGTCTATAGAAATATGATAATTCTTTTTAATAATTGATCAGGTGTAGTCGGCATTTTCTAAATGGACTGGATATTTTGTTTGTGTCAGTTCTTATTGATAATGAACACTGATTTTCAGATGTTTTTTTAAAGTTCATTTCCTAATGTTATTTGTTCTGACAAACAAAAACACCTTGCAAAGGTCAGTGACTTCTAGAGGCTCTCTTCATGAAAGAGTTCTCTATGTTATTACCCAATAAAGAGCTCCATGCCAGAGGTATCAGGCCCCTTTTCCCACAGGGCCTTGATCTGCAGTGATTTTGTCTGTATGTTGTACTTACTGTGAGCAGTATTGTAGGAACTTATGGGAATAACTAAAAGAATGGGAACAGAAGGATGCATTTAAGTTCTAGCTTAAATGCAGGTAAATTGAAGCTGAAACTGCCGTTAGAATGCGTCAGCTGGAGTTACAGTCTAGTAAACTGACCTCTGACCTAACTACAAATTCTGCTAGAGATGGAGATAAAAGTTTAACTTCCTCCTTCTCTCTCTCCTCTTTGCTTCTGCAAGCATCAACAATGCCTCGTTTTCAACTCCCCTGGGATTTTTTGCTTCAGTTATAGCATAATTTTAGCATTTGCGATGTTAAACAGCTTGTTGTAAACCATCTTGTTGCTAAGGTGACATCATAAAAAATGTACAAAATATCAAAATTTTTAGTGAAAATTACTCCAGCATCCAAAACCTCTAAGATAAAAGTTATTCATTAATAACGGTTGAGCCACAAACTTAAGTTTGTGGCTCAAACTTGAGTAAGTTTCTTACTCAAGTTAGGCACACATAATTTTTTTTATTTTTTTAAAGTTTGAGTAATATTTTAGATTAAAAAACAAAACAAAACATAAGGACATATTCACTGACCTCATATATGTCTATGTCTTCAGGGTTTTCCCATCTCTCCAAAGAAACAAGGGTCTCAGGGACTACAACTATGTAGAACCACCTGCAATAGACAAAAATATACATACAAATGCTGCAGAAAAAAACAAACTGAGAATTTTTTAAAACAAAAGTTAGATCTTTTAATAATCTATGAGCTAATTAAAAAGAAAAAAAATTCAAGAGATATATTTTTGGGCAAATTTGTACACAAAAACTGAGTGGCTGACAATCTATCCAGGGTGTACCCCACCTTTTTTCTAATCACCGCTGGAAATAGGCAATAGCCTACCTCCAGCTGAAAACCAGCCTCTTGTCCTACGCCATTTGCTTCATACATAGGCCCTGGACTCATGGTTATTAAACAATTACTTCCCTGAGGTTTCCTATGTAATTCCTATAATGGAGCCTAAAATGAAAACATTTTCATTGTGCTTCAAAAGGGAGCACATTTATTTACGTATTCATTAGCCATATCTATATGATATAATCCCTTTGAGTGTCATTTCATGCAGAAATTGCATTTCATTGGGCAGAAAAGGGTAAATGAGACAAACTTTTAACTTGAGCATAAAACTAACATAATTTGTCTAAAAGAACTCAACAACCAAGAAAGTCATTCACACCACTGGTGTGTCAGTGGTGTGTCACACCACTTAATCAGATGTGACACACTTAATGACACACGCTTGTCATTCAAAACACTTAATCAGGCAGCATGCTCTCCCGTTCCTTCGCGGATACCCAATCACTTTTTGGCATAACACCTGGTTTGTTCCTACTCTCGGCATCTGCATGGGTGGCAGTGCTCGTAGTATGTCTGCTTGGGTTAACGGTATTTATTCCAAATAGTGAACAGTCACTATTTGGAATGTTGTAGCACTTCTTGCATAAGTGCTACAACATTAGGACACTACAATGAGCCCGCTGGGATTTTTCCCCATTCCATATTCCCTACTTAGTGATTTCACAACAGCAACATGTAGTCCATGATATATTTGTAGTCAACACCACAATTTATTTATTTTTTTATCAAATACCAATTCTACTCTCTCGTTATCAAAAAAGTTGTAATTACTTTAGTACTGTTGGCATTATGATCTCGAAGCTATCTGATAGTGACTTCTGCTAATATAGTCATGCAGTTGTGGTATGAAGCCAAAGAAACAGTACAACTAAAGAAAATATCAAAAGGAAACTACTGCACAATTTTTATTTTCACTTATGTGCCATGTATTTTTAAAACTGAGTAAGTCTGTATTTTTCAGCATGTTTTCCACAAAAAGAGTACAGACCTTACATGGGCTTCAACTGGGACCTCAGGCATAACAATAGTCACCCAGTCTTCATCCACACTGGGCTGATATCGAGTTGGTTTCACTGATAGCAGGTTTGGAGCGGTTCGAACAGAAACCTGCTGCTGGAGGTCACCAGCTCCATTCCCATAGCTCATCAACACAAAAGAATAATATGTATCTGGTTGTAGCCGTGTGATCAGCTTCTTCTTCAGGTCACTTTGAATTTCCACCTTTTGGTTGTTGTACAGAATCTGAAAGAAGGATTATTGGGGCATGCCATTAGCATTACATAGGGAAGAGCAGTGACGTCACTGCTCTTCATTATAATGTCTCTTTATTTATAATAAAGAGACATTAGAATGTCTCTTTATTATAAATATAGTATATTTTTCTTCCGTTACCTTTAATGCAGCTCGTACCGCTGTGTGCCCTGCCCACCCACAAAAGTGGTATCAAAACGTGCGGCTCAATCCCGGCATTGGAGCCATTATTTTTTTATTGGGGATCAGAGTTACGATGGCGACATAAAAAGCGAAAAACGAGCGAAATTTCCAACTGCCGAAACGCAGAGTGTAACTGACACCAACTGCCGCTTTTCTAGAGTGAGAAACGGAGTGGATTTTTGATCCCAAAATAATTTTGAAATCACTCTCATGCCTATAAAAATTGCTCTATGGACCTTACCACAGGGGCTGCGTTTCATTGGCTAATGCCCATTTCACGCACAGCGCAGCTACCACGTGCGTGACGGTCTCACAAACACAAGCCACAGTAGTAAACACATGCTAATGTACATTGTGAACTAGCAGTCCGCAGAAAGTTTTTGCGTCAGGACTCGAAAAAGAATGGTTCTCCACTGTCAGTGGGGAATCTGTACAGGCGATGTCAGGTGTCCTGATAGTATTTGTGGAACTAAAATTCACAGATTTCCAAAATCTGAAACGGAATGCCTTGCTGGATCAAAGCTTGTGGACGACCACATTTGCAGCTCAACCGTCGTAGGATCAATAAGAACAAAGGAGTGTGTGCTGGTGTGAGTATTATTGCTTTGTGTTTAGTGAATGGGGATATTTTCAGTGATAGTTTATCCATTTGAGATTCTGCTTTACAGCTTCAGTAATAAAAACATCCATTATGAAAACCTTTCAGCTAAGTACAGCATAATGGCAGTACCGATACAACTTCGTAAGCTGAACAGATCAATATGCAATGTGTATCTGACACACATTAAAGATTTTATTTTACCTGAAAAGGCTTTTTACTAAACTGTAATCTTGTTAGCCACGCTAGCACCGAGTACCGAGTATCAGGCCTAGGCACACTCAAACATTTGCCAAAAACAGAAATCACTGATTTCAAAAGTAACCCTCAAAACCATGAATGCCGACTTACCCAGCCTTACAAGAACAACAGGCATCAGTGATCTTGTCCACATCTATATTTATCCTGAGGGTGTGAGGATCTGCTGTTTTCCTCATCAACCGGTAGCATTTAGCTGCGACAATGTTGGAGGCATCGCGTGGCTCAAACACCTTGATGTTGTCCATAAAAGATGACATGAACTTGTTGGTTCCCCTGTCCATTGTCGTGGCTGATATTTTGTGAAAATCCGGCAGAAATGCTACACTAATCGACTCAGAAATAGAGTCAGTCGAAAGGAAAGACGCCATGTTTACATAGAAACTAAGCTCCGCGAGGCTTTGTTTGTGAGACATGCAGCCACGTGGAATTTTCGAGGGCGTTTCTGGGCGGAGCTTGGTGAGGTCCATTGATATGAAAGTCGGTCACGACATTAATACGCATGCCTGCTCCGTAAAATATATTCGAAATTTCTCTAGGGCTGTCGGTTTTCTGTCAAGGTGCTTCAGAGCGAAATCAAGTGACAGGGTAACCTCAGGCACTCCACCATTCATTTTCAGACTTTTCTGAAAATTTTCTGAGCTCAGCGCATACCATTTTTCTCTCATCGCTGCTATTTCTGTGAGTGACCTACTGATATGAATCACGGGACTATTGGAGACGACAAATAGCCCTCTCATACGCTTCAAACGGTTTTTGGATCGGCCTTACGGATCCTGAACGGGAAGCAGTTGTTAGGACTGCTTTTTTAATCAAAACTGACTGGGTGTCTCATAAAGATAGAATTCCTTCTCTGCCTTTCTATCTCACACACACAGCAGTTGGCTGAGGATTAATCACTATAGCAACATAATACAGAGAAAGGCAGAGCTGCTGGTTTGGACTACAAAGACTCTGTAGTTCTAAACATGGCGGAACACTTTAACACAGAGGGCAGAGCAGAAGGTCAGAACTACAACATGGTGGAACACTCAATTATTACAGAGGAGGGCTGAGCTGGCATTTAGAACTACTTGCTGTTTTGGGTATTATATAGCTGGATTAACCAAACCACTGTTACACATTGGCTTAGTGTGGCCATTTAAAATGAAGCTTACTGAAAATTTCTAAATAAAAGCCTTGACATTTTTCACATCAAGTAATTGTTCTTTTGAGCTTTATGTGACTGGTTTAAACAAACCACTGTTAAACATTGAATTAGTGTGGTCATTAAAATGAAGCTTACTGAAAGTTTCAAAATAAAAGCCTGCATATTCTTCTCACGTCAGTGCACCGCTGTAGGCGGTGCAATAATATTAAGCATTTTTTTATGTTTTTTTTTCTCAGGATAGTTCATTAACATTAGCACAAACATTAGCATTTCATTGCCCCCACTAGTAAAAGGCATTAGCCTTTTACCTAAAATAACCTATTAGTTAATTTTCTTACTTATTTGCCATGTTTAGTATACTGAATGGAGTAAGTCAATGACAGAGAACATGCTAGTGATGCCCCACATGCTACTGATAGTCTTCACGCTAACATTAGCATTTTGGCAAATTTTAGCTTATGCATTAATTTTAACATACTGAACAGTACAGGTACAGTTTAGTCCACATGCTTCTGACTCTCCACATGTTATTGACTACATTGCAGCTTTCTTTAGCATTAATGCTATTTTTAGCATCAGAACGCTTGATTAAAAACTGACGGGCACACTTTGGCAGGCCCCGGTGAAATTTCTTCAGGAATTTTCTAGTTACTATTATAATTTTAATCGTTGACAGCTCAGAAATGCATAAAACTTGTAATTTTAAAACATGTTAACTTCAGTTAACTTTGATTCTCATTAAAATAATATATCAAATAGGCTTGCAAGAAATTTTATTTCCTAATGTAATACCTTGAAATTAGGTAGACCTCTGTCTCTTTAAAAAATCCTGCTTTCTGAAATTCCATCATCAGGCAGTCATCACATTACTCCTCTTTTAACCCTTTAACAACATTTTTACCAGTGTTGCACTGAGAACTAGCTCTTATGAGTTCAGCAGATATGGAGTTCTACCAATTGTTTTCTAATTGCTGCTGGCTAGTCTGAAGGAGCTGAGAGGGAAAGGCGCTGAGGAGGGCTGCTCTGTGAGGTAGAAGCTTGGAGGCTTGGAAACTACAGCTCTGAGAAGGAGCTCTGGATAGACCGATCTGGGTGAACCTGGAAAGTGAAATAAATGCTCCATTTAAAACTTTTGGTTATCTATCCCAACACCCGAATGATGGAGTTAAATCCAGTCCAATTATGACTCACACTCAAAATGCTTGGTAGCATCTACATACTAAAGTAAATGCCGTATTTTCCACATTATAAGGCGCACCTAAAAACCTTCAATTTCCTCAATAGCCGAGAGTGCACCTTACAATCCGGTGCGCCTTATATATGGACCAATATTGAGCCACAACAGGTCTAGCAACTATGGTAAGCAGCCGCCGACTTCATTTTCGCCTGAAGAAGAAGAAGCACGCAGTGCATGCTGGGATAGTTGTCAGAATGCTGATTTGTAATCTATTAAAGTTTGACTGACCAATCTACCTAGTGACCGCCTAGAATCAGGTCGTCTGCAGGTCATTTAGCACCACGTTCTAAACGAACATTCTGTGCTTGAACGGAGAAGGGTGACCATCGTCCTGCCACACCCCGACCCAGTTGCGGAAGGCTCTCCTCACTGACCGAGTCGGACTGTTTTGTTGACATTCCCTTTAGTGCAGCTCCATCTAGTGGATGCATAACGTAACTCCAGCCTCTACGGTAGCATCTATTCTATGCGCCTTACAATGTAGTGCGCCTTACATATGAAAAAAGTTCGACAGGGGCAGTTCAACTTACACCCAGAAGGCAATTGATCCCGGCAGCAGAAATCTTCAGATGTCCTTGGTCAGAGTCTCTGTCCTGACGTGGCAGAGTCCCCTTTCAGAATAGAAGCAAAGCAGAACTGTCCGTTGTCCTTCAAACGTCCAGATTTTCGTCAATCCGTGACCTTTGTCTTTTCTCCAAGTCTGCTGCAGTAGGGTAGAGATCGCTGGGTTGAGGCAGAGGTGTTGGTCAAATCAGGAACCAGGGCTGGGGGTAGATGGATCTTGTCCCTTCTTAGCGGTGTGAAGTCTCAACTTCCCCTTGGTTCCAGGGTGCGGTCCTCTGCTGGTCTTCAATCTGCGTCCTCTTGTTGGCTCTTCTTCAGCGCCGCGGACAAAGAACAGTTTCTTCCCTTGTCTGCTGGTTTTTAAACCCTCTCAGCCCATGGTTGTGTATGGGAGAGGTCTACGTGACTTCTGAAACGTTCCGATGAGTCTGTGGAAAGCCCCAACCTTTCCCAACCATCATCTCTTTCGTGACCCATTGCAGCAACTCTCTTCAGTACTTCCCTTTTCCTACTGGCCATCTGGCCATTGAGGCCATTTCTCGTAACTTACTTTCCTTTTTGAGCCTTCCAGCACCCCCGCCTAGCTCAGTGTACTAATTGCGACACAGTCTGCTTCATCTCTCACGATCTCAAACCTTCAGTCATCTCATTTCTGTAATTTATTATAAAACATAATCAATTTGTCATTTTATCAACTTATAACTCTCAGTATGATTCTCCATCACTTATCTATTCTGTAACTCAAGCTGTTACTATTTCTAATCATCAATAATCAACATACAACAATCAAGTTGTTACTGTTACTACAGATCAAGAATACAGAATATATATTTCAATCACACATTACAGTCATTACAGACCATTCCAATCATTACATATGTATGTATTTTTATTCATCTTTTAATCATCATTAAATCAATATGCAAGATTACTGTTATTCCTCAGGCCTTTGTTCCATTTTCTGCGTGCACCTGGAAAGATCTCACCACCTTATGCCAGTTTTCACGACACCCTCTCCTTGAGATCGGACGGTGCTTCGCAGAAAACACAAAGTCCAACTAAAACAATTCTAATACATCACCACAATGGATATTTAAGATGTCTCTTTCGTAGCAAGTCACGGGAGAAGATGACGGTGTCCACGTGTCCACGACCTCATACTCCGTCAGGTGTGATGGTGGGGAAATCCAGGCGTCGGCGTCCAGCTCGTCATCTACTGTGGAGCTGCACGGCTCGGAAAGATCGTGACGTTCCAGCTGAGGCGGTGGAGTTGGAGCGGACTCATCCACTGCTAAATCCTGCTGTGGGGTGGCTGGGAAGTCACAACATTCCTCCAATTCCTCAAGCAGATCCTGGAAGTCCACAGCAAACAAAGGAGATTGCATCTGACAAATGCAGGCGATGGAGGAGCTTGTGGTGCTACTCTGATCCTTGTGTGATGAGAGAGATGCATCATCAGTCTGGCACGCTTGGTGAGATGAACTGAGAATCTCAGCTTGGGTACTTTGCTCGTGAGTTGCAATGCTGGCTTGGCACCCGACATCGACGAACATATCTGGAGACGCCGGACAAACTGGTGGAATGGAGTCGCCTACCGCCACTACTCTGCCGTCCAAAAGATGCAGAGTAGGAAGGCACTGGCGAGTAATCTGATTTTCCCATAGCTTCTGGACTATGGGCAGCATCCGGCCATTCTCCAAAGGCGACGCTCGAAGCACATCATCGTCCTGGCCCAACGCAGAGGTCCACACGACCTTCTGTACCCGTTCCAGGGATCTAGATGTGAAAGCCGCAATGTAAGGCAGATCCTCGCGTCCAAGGACGCAGAGGATTGCCGTTACATCATTGAAGTGTAGGTGCACGCAATTGTGACACCAGCGGGCAGACGATGGAACCCAAAGGAACCCATAGGATTCTGCGGTCGTTCCACATCCCACGCAGCAAATCGGTGCCTGAAGAGAAACAGCAACCTAGGTAACTTCATGATTAGTAGGTATCGATCAACAACACTCATATAAGTAAAAAGGGCCTAGAAGCGAAAGCAGGGGCATAAAAAGTGAGCTGGTTTAAACTGGTGTGCCTGATTGAGCTGCAAGCCATGGGGAATTTATCACAAGGGAAACATTCTCGGATACTGGCGGTTCCGGATTCTGCACATGAAGCGAATCGTGAAATATCGCCGCGTGGGTCATAAGCCACACGACGATGGGTAGGGTGGACGTCTTCTTCATCCAGTAAAGGATCACAAAAACTCCCCACCCTGTGGCCCAAAGGGCCAGGATTGCCCATCTACGAAGCCAGCGACGTTTGCCTTGGCCCTTGATGGAAAAAGCCTGGTGCGCAAGATAGATGAGAATGGACACCGCCAGAAGCCCCTCGACGATAGCGGTGAGGATCTTGAGTGGGGCGGCCCGGGTAGCGTGGGTTCCTCCACAGACCAACTCCATTACTAGGGCCGTTGTGTCGATGGTGATCCAAAGGCATGCCACAATGCCTCTGCGCCAGTTGATGCGGGTCCTGCCCATCAGATAACAGGCAAAAAGGGAAGGAGCGTAATCCCATCTTCACAGAAGGATGGGTCGCAGAATGATCTTTGTATACCATTCCAAAGATCGACAAGCACTCTTAGGGGTTGCCCAACAGACCAGGACCCAGTGTGACAGTAGACTACCCAGGCAAGGATGAAACCGACTTGTTCAAGGGTACTCACTTGAATGGGCTCAAAGAGTGAAGTGGTAGCAGAGGAGTTGGTCGAAGAATTAGATGTCATGATGTCCCTGGTTGTTTCCTTCTTTGGATCAGGTCTTGACAGCAGCCGTGAAGAACGGTGAATGGCTCGTCGGCACACGACAGCTCCCTTTTATGCTGAATCAGGCTCCTCCTTCGGGGGGAGGGGCTGGTGATCCCTCCCCTTGCAACGACAAAGTGTTTTTAGCCACGCCTCCAAGACAACCAATATTTGTTTGTTTTCGTCACAGCCAAAATTTCAAGAATTATATGACCCAAATAAAGGTTTATGGGAGTTCTTACTTCTCAGAAAAGACAGTGTTTTTTAAAAACTCGTCCTTCTGAGATACCATTTTGTTTATCATCTTTGGTGTGTTTGCTTGTTTTATGTTTAGCATGATCATATAATGCACGACTGCCTTTCATGGATTATGAAGCTTCGGCACAAATTCAATCTGGAAGACTCTTTAGCCTCACCTGCCTCATCAATCAGCGCCTCCCTCTCTTCACCCCGGACCTATCAGCGTAAGATCAAGCCTCACTTTGGCCAATCATCGTTCGAACTCCAGTTGAAAAGGACCTCCTGCCCACGGTCTCCTCCACTTACCAGCTGCGATCAACCCACCTCCGCCCCATCTCCACCTTCTGCTCCTGGCTCTCAGGCCACATCCTTCTTTGACCACCGCCACCAGTACAGGCCCCGGGGGGATTACATTCCTATGCAGCATCAGGAATGTGTGTTTTTTTTAAAGGTTTTATTGGCTCTAGTTGCCTTTATTTGATAGTTAATTGACAGGAAATTGGGTAATGAGAGAAGGGGAAGACATGCGGAAAAGGTGACAGGCTGGGAAGTGAACCTGCAACAGCTGCGTCAAGGACTAAGGCCTCCATATGTGGGTTGTGCTCAACCCCTACACCACCACAGCACACCCAGCATCAGCAATGTTTATCGAGCTTATCGAAGTTCCAGCTCGGCATCCCCGGCCGAGGCCTGAACGCCAAAGGACTTTAATGTTTATTTGTCATTAAACTTTCTTTAATCACTTTCTTTCTATGTCTGAGTCTCTCCAGATTGAAATATGATTATGTCTATTGATCACATAATGCATAATAAACATACTTAATATTTTAAGGAAGGACTAGCTATCTTTGGATGTGCATGTTTAGCAATAGAAACTAATCCCATCCATCCATCCATCCATCCATCCATCCATCCATCCATCCATCCATCCATCCATTTTCTTCCGCTTATCCGGGGTCGGGTCGCAGCAGCTTCAGAAAGGAGGCCCAGACTTCTCTCTCCCCAGCCACTTCTTCCAGCTCCTCCAGGGGAACCCCAAGGCGTTCCCAGGCCAGCAGAGAGACATAGTCCCTCCAGTGTGTCCTGGGTCTTCCTCGGGGCCTCTTCCCGGTGAGACATGCCCGGAACACCTCACCAGGGAGGCATCCAGGAGGCATCCTTACCAGATGCCCAAGCCACCTCAACTGGCTCCTCTCTATGTGGAGGAGCAGCGGCTCTACTCTGAGTCCCTCCCGGATGACCGAGCTTCTCACCCTATCTCTAAAGGAGAGCCCAGCCACCCTGCGAAGGAAACCCATTTCGGCCACTTGTATCCGGGACCTCGTTCTTTCGGTCATGACCTAAAGCTAATGAACATAGATGAGGGTAGGAACGTAGATCGACCGGTAAATCGAGAGCTTCGCTTTTTGACTCAGCTCTCTCTTCACCATGACGGACCGGTACAGCGCCCGCTTTACAGCAGACGCTGCGCCAATCCGCCTGTCGATCTCCCGCTCCCTTCTTCCCTCATTCGTGATCAAGATCCCCAGATACTTAAACTCCTCCACTAATCCAGTTTACTGATAAATGATTACAATGTGTTTTTGTATCAAATTAAACCTTACCTTGAGTTGAATTTGATATTTGTTTGTTACTGGTACTTCCCAGGACAAAAGGACAGATGTTTTCGTCACAGCCTTCACGCCAAAGTTTTTGACAAACACTGAGGAAAAGATGAGAGTCATTTTCAAACACATTGCACCACAATAATGACAATGTTGTCAGATTAAAAGTGTGTGTAATCATTATTAGAATATCAGATTCAGCAATAAGGACCTTCAACTTTCACTTCTACTGATTATGTTTGAGTTAGACATATAGTGATTCTGACAGAAATTGAAAAATTTAAAACATGCAGCTTCCAGTTTGAATTTATGTTATTCTATACAATGATTAATATTTTTTATATTAATATAAGAAGACTATTAATATTTGAGGAAGCTGTTAATTGAAGGGCTGATGGAGTCACCAGACCATCAAAATTATACATCAAATTGCATAGTGATATTAATGTGATGTGAATATGTGTGTAAGCAAATGTGAGGTTTTTTTTTCATGAATTTACTTTAATGCCATTTATATTTAGTGACGGTTTCTGATATGGGCGACATGGGCAAAAGCCCAGGGCGGCAGCTTCAGGGGGACGCCACTAATGAGGTCAACAGTCTTTTATATCTGTTTTTTTTTTTAATTCAGACTCTCTTCAAGAGCTACACAGAAAGCAAATGATAGCTTCTGAAGCTCACCTGGCACAGATGATGACGTGGTTCTGCTTTGAATGCTGGGGCTGAAAGGTCCTCCTCCTTTGTTGGTGAAAGCTTGGACTCTGATGTCATAAGTTGTGTCAGGCTGCAAGTCCAGGATGGTCATTCGTGTCTCTGTGGTCATGTTGGTATTGTTGTGCTTGCTATTAATATCCCGATATACCACTACATACTTTATAATCTTTCCATTCCTCTCAGACAGAGGAGGAGGTTCCCAAACCAGTGCAGTTGAAGTGGAGGTGAGGCCTGCCACTCTTAGATTCTGGGGGTAGCTACTGGGCATGTCTTCAGGGGTGCTTATCTCCTTTATATATTCTTCACCAGTGCCTGCTTGGTTTTTCGTAGATAGTTTGAAAATGTAAGTAGCTCCTTTAAGGAGGTGGGTAAGTGTAAAATGATCATCTGTCTTCCTGAAATCTTTGACATTAAAAGTTTTCTCATCTGCTCTCTTGTACTGCAGTTGGTAGCCTAAATGCTCTCCCATCATTTCCTTAGGAGGTTGCCATTGGATCATAGCAGTATTCCCCATCATTGTACTGATCATCATACTGGGCTTTCCAGGCACTGCAACAGAGATTATTTATATACACATATAAAAGAAGTTATTTATACCTTATATATATTGAACATGTTTGTTCAATATATATGGTTAAATATATTACCATGCACTATATTGCCAAAAGTATTCGCTCGCCTGCTTTGACTCACATATGAACTTAAGTGAAGGCCTGGCTGTCAGTCTCTGCTCTAATTCATCCCAAAGAGACCAAGGGCCTCATGCATAAAAAGAGTGCGTAGTTTTCACACTGAAACTTGGCATACAAAAGAAATCCAGCTGTATAAAGCCGTGCATACGCACGTGGCTGCGCACCTTTCCTATGTAAATGCTAATTTGCAGGGAATAGAGCAGCTGCTGGTCGGCCCTGTCGCCACCCATAAAAAAATATGTAAATTAGTATTATTAGTTGTTTGTTGCAGTATGAGTATTTATAATAATAATAATAATAATATATTTTATTTAAATGGTGCTTTCAGGTCATCTCACAAAAACAAAAATAATACATTTTAAAGAAAAAATAAAAATAAATAAAGAGATTGTTCAAATGCCTGTCTGAACAGTAGAGTGTTC